GGCATGTGCGCATTCGATCTCTGTAGTATTCCCAGTGGGTGGTTGACGGATGCTCTGGTGTGGTTTACACCTTATTTCCTATCAAACATTTATCTCTCCTCGTTCTATTTTGTGGTTGTTACTCTCTTGTAATAACTCGAATCTTTAGCACGTTTATAACCTTATTGGGGGCTCTCGTGGCCAAGATGTTAAGGTGTTGGCCTCTCACCCTAAGGTCCCGGGTTCGAATCCGGGTAGCGACCGAAAAAAATGTGTTCTCTAAAATTGTCTCCTTTTACCTCCTTTTCTGCTATCTAGCAATGTTCTGTCGTCTGCTTTCGTCTCCTCCGACCCCTTCACCTCCTTTGCCCCCTCCTCTGGGCTCCTGACTCTTTCTGCAGCCTTTCCACTGCTACTCCTTGGCTCATTCTTACGGCTGTCTTTCAGCCTCACCCCTGATCTTCTGGTAGGAAAGATCTACCCCCAGCTTTCTCGGACAAGGGCGAAAAGTCTCGGAGGTCCCGCGTGCAAGTTGCGCACTTTAAAAATCCCTTGGTGGTCTAACATCAATAAGAGTTGGGCAAAATTCAAAATTTCCTACCAACTGAAAAAGTTTAATGTGTCCCGCGCTCACATGACCTTATACAGTTCAGCGCGTAAAACACTTACAAAAAAAAACAACAACAAAAAACATATTGTGTTGCAAGTGCCATAAAACTCTTGTTAAAAAAATATTCCCGTGTACCGGCGGTTTAGCATTTAGGTGCTTTGCTGTTTCACGCAGAGAGCATATGCCCAATTCCTTAGGGTGAGGGGGGGGGGTATCTTCGTCCGTCAGCTGGGACATCACATCCCTCTAAACTCTAAGCAGGCAGGGTCTAAACAGCATGTCTCCTAGATTGTCTAAATTGTGTACGTGTTCCCGTGTTAAAAGTAGTGGTAGAAGTATGAAGGGGAGGAGGAGGAATATAGGCTTGTTATTATCACTCAAATCAAAATTGTCGTCCCATCTCTTTCAGACCAAAACCTGTTTGTCTCGAGCCGTGAGAATTTTTTCCTGCTTCTCATTTACGATCAAAGAGTAATAATTGGAAAATCATGATGTGTTGCATAATAAG